CGAGCCCAAGAACTATGCCTGGAAGCCCTTTGCCTCCGGATTATGCAGTGTCAGATAATGAATGGTGGCATATTCTGTTACCTGAAAGAGAAAACCCACAAATTTCTTTATTGTAACCCTTTCTCACTCCCAACCAGCTTCTGCTTTCCAGTCTCTTCTTTAGTCATGCTGAACCACGATATAGGGAGAGAAGTAGCCATCATAGGTAATCAAGTTCTTCAGACTCGGGTTGACCCGTGCTCATTTGATTTAGAGGCAATCCTCGGGAGGTGGACACCCCACAAAGAGCACAAATCCACTGCAATCAGCAGGAAGGGCCAAGTCCTCTCAGCTGCAGTCTCACAGGCACAGCCAAGGGGCTGCAGAAAAGGCAGGGAGACATTTCAGAGATCCAAAGGTACTAGGTGAAAACACAGAGCAGCTCCAAGCCGAGATGGTGGCTTGATCAAATTACACATGCACACATGGGTAGTCTCTCCCTCATGTCCCTTTTCATAGTAGGTGACATAAGAATGCTTGAAACAAACCATATGCCTTTATCTAAAAATGTGCCAACTTGCTGAACCATAAAATGAGTCTCCCACCACCACCATAAAAAATATTCTGTGATGGGGCACCTGGGTGGCTCAGAGGGCTAGGCCTCTGCCTTCGGCTCGGGTCATGATCCCAGAGTCCTGGGATCGAGCCCCGCATTGGGGTCTCTGCTCAGTGGGGAGCCTGCTTCCCCCTCTCTCTCTCTCTGCCTGCCTCTCTGCCTACTTGTGATCTCTGCCTGTCAAATAAATAAATAAAATCTTTAAAAAAAAATGTTCTGTGATGGGCACCTGGGTGGCTCAGTGGGTTAAAGCCTCTGCCTTCGGATCAGGTCATGATCCCAGGATCCTGGAATTGAGCCCCGCATCGGGCTCTCTGCTCAGTGGGGAGCCTGCTTCCACCTCTTTTTCTCTGCCTGCCTCTCTGCCTACATGTGATCAGTGCCTGTCAAATAAATAAATTAAAAATCCTGAAAAAAAAATTTATTGGCAAAAAAACAAGGACTTTTTAAAATTTTTTTTAAAGATTTTATTTATTTATTTGACAGAGAAATCACAAGTAGGCAGAGAGGCAGGCAGAGAGAGAGGGGGGAAGCAGGCTCCCCGCTGAGCAGAGAGCCCAATGCAAGGGCCCAATCCCAGGACCTCAGGACCACGACCCAAGCCAAAGATAGAGGTTTTAACCCACCGAGCCACCCTTGAGTGGCCACCCGCGTCACACAAGGGACATTTTTGAAGTAGTAGTTTCTGGGACCATTTCCTCTTAAGATGAGTTTGAATCCATCTTGATTTTTCTATTTTTTTTTCAAGATTTATTTATTTGAGAAAGAGAGTGGGTGGGGAGGGAAAGGGAGAATTAAGCAGGCTCCACTCTGAGCATGGAGCCCAATTCAGGACTCCATGCAGAGATCCATGACCCTGAGATAATGACCCAAGCAGAAACCAAGAGTCGGATGCTTAACTGACTGCACTACCCAATTACACCAACCTTGATTATTCTTGTGAAGAACTAGTCAGTTCCTTCCCTCACATTTTGAGGAAGAAGGAAATACAGAGTAAAGTCAAAGGTCCAGGATCCCAACAGGCCCTTCTATAATCCTGTTTCCTCTTGAATTGAACCTAGTGATCATTTTGGATTTTTTTTTTTTTAAAGATTTTATTTATTTATTTGAGAGAGAGACAGTGAGAGAGAGCATGAGCAAGGAGAAGGTCAGAGAGAGAAGCAGACTCCCTGCGGAGCCGGGAGCCCGATGCGGGACTCGATCCCTGGACTCCAGGATCATGACCTGAGCCGAAGGCAGTCGTCCAACCAACTGAGCCACCCAGGCGTCCCTGATCATTTTGGATTTTATAATTGGACTTCCCATCCTGGAATATGATAAGCGTTTTTTAAAATCTAAGTTTACTTGTAACTCTTTCCAGAAACTTATTTTCCTGTAGGTCCCCTGCATTTCCCAACAAATCAATCCCAGATATTTTATGTACATTTATTTATATAGTATTACTATTTACATAGTAATAATTTATAGGTAAAATGCTAATTTATTCCTGCTTCTCCAACCTTAAGTTTTAAAGGTCTGAGGAATTCTGAGAAGTGGCCTAGAGGCCTGTGTTTTTTCTTTTTTTTAAGTGACTTTTAAACATGTGTTCCCCTTTGCATGAAACAATCTGAGATGCTCTGTGTGATGAAAAAAGAAAAGAGAATGATGAGTGGAGATCAAATTGGGTCCATGACTGAGTCTCATGGCAGGTTTAAGACTCAACTGAATGCCACCAGCTGCCATAGAGATTTGGCCAATATACAGTTCTATATCTCTTATTCTTAGTCATATGTTGTTTAAATTAAATCAGTAGAATACCAAGGAAGCATAAGGAAGAATGCTAATATATTTCAATAATTCTGTACCTCAATAAATATGTCTTTGACTATATGGGGTATATGAAGAGAGGAAAAGTACAAATTAAACTTTGGGATGGAATGAAACAAGCATTATTGCTAATCCAGCCATTTTTACATGATCCAAATGCCCTTTCTGCAGTTCTAAATTCCCAAATCTTTGCTAATCGAGTTTCTTCCTCTATCATGTATCTGCCAAATTTATCATAAATAACCAGGGTATGTACACATTGTCTTTCTCCAGCCTAGTATTTTGCTACAGCTGTATATATATAAAGCCAGATGTTGCCTCAGACCTGCTCAGCTTGTTACATACTGTGTGGTGAATGCACCCTACCACCCTGCTAAAACCCTTGTGGGTTCCAAACTAGTCTGGCCCTGAAGGTTTGAATGAAGGATTGGGGCCCTGTGTGCAAACAGGATGCATAACATTTTTGATATATTACATGCATAATAGTTAACATTTGTTCAGAAATGCTCTAACATGGGGTGCCTGGGTGGCTCAGGATCTGGGGGTCCTGGGATCGAGCCTGGCATATGGACATTGTTAAAGTTCACTATCAAACTTGTTGGTGAACCACTACAAGCATCCCTAGTCACACCCAAAATAAAGCAATAATAACATGACTAATTAATGTGGTTCTGTTGCACTACCTAGGGCTATACAACATCAATTTTTTAAGTCAAAATATGGAAAGGGAAGAAGCCAAATTACCTATGGAATGGGGATGGTGTTTTACCTACAGTAGCCACAAAAAAAATCCAAGGAAATACTGTTAAAATGAAAAACGTCTGTATGGTCTCTGAGTAAATACTAATCAAAATCAAGACCGTTTAATTGCAACAAATAAGATGAACAATGAGCAGCCTGCAGGTGGCTGCTCTCCACAGTGACCGTAAAAATTAACAGCTCCAGGAACAAGTGTGGTAGACAGTGGGCAGGATGACCCGAAGGGATGCACAGGGCTGCTCAAATCTGCTAGGAAACTCCAAGAGGACAGTACATCAGGTCCTGGGCCTAAGAATGATAGGAGAGCCCCAAGAACATCAGCGCCTGGGCCCTGAGGAAGACAAGACCACAGTAGGCCCTGGGACCTAAGGAAGATGCATGAACATCAGATACTGGACTCTGAGGAAGATAAGAGACTATCTGGTCCTTGGCTCCCAAGGAAGACGAGAACACACTGGGCCCACACTGAGCACACATCAGATCCTGCGCAGCAGCAGACCCCTCATTTCCTGACACAGGCACCCCGCTCACAGAGGAGGAGGCTGTACCGAGGACCTTACCCACCTCACTCCTCCTCCCTGACAAAGATTCTTTGCTTACCCACGCATTAGTCAGGCTCCCCTGAACGCACTCCCTAACAGGCAAGGCCCATCTACGTGCCTCCTCCTAGGACCTAGTTTTAGCAAAAATCCTAAGTCAGTTTAATAAGACTTCTCTACCTTCGAATCCGATCAAACTTCTCATCCCCACTGTCGCCCTCAGCTGGCATCTGATCACCCCCACCTGCCTTCAGCGAGAATCTTATTGGGTTGCTTCAGCCAGCAGCCCCCAGACTGTCATTTTCCATCACCCAACAACCCCCACCTCACCCTCACACACTCCAACTGCTTCTTAGCTATGAGGTCCCACTCGATCTAGTTGTATTCAGAACGGAGCCCAGGTCCATACTGCAGTGTCTCCTTCCCTGTGGCATTTTTGTAAATAAAATATATTTCCACTGTTTTAACGTCTGTCTAGCTCTGGTTTTGACAACCTACCCCCACACCTGTCTTTAGGACACAATTAACCCTGTCCTCCCCACAGCTTGAGCGGACATTTATGCGTGCTTCTCCTCCCCACTCCTCCCCATCCCATGGAGGCCACAGAACCCCGCCAGGTGCACGTTCTGGGCAGGTGCTACCCGCCTTTCCTCTCAGAACGCAGGGGTGACCTTAGAGCCGCCTCCGGCACATTTCTGCCCTTCCCCTCCCGCCCCTTCCTTGTGGCAACCTAGACCAGGATCCACATTCGGCGCCGCCCCCACTCACTTCCGTCAGTCGTCTCATAGCCTCTTCCCTGAACTTGGGTGGACTTTACTCCGCCCTCCCACGTCACTCGCCTGTCCCTCCCCATCCCCCGATCGTGGCTGGACGTTAGCTCCGCCCCCTACGCGCTTCCCGCCTCCCCCTCCCCCCCGGCTCCTAACCCTCCTTCCTCCATCTTGGGTAGGAGTAGCAGTTTGCCCCAACCCTCTGCGCTCCCGTCCCTGCCCGCTCTTCCTCCTCCGCGCAGGGACGCAGTAATCCTCCAACCACCCACTCAACCCAACTTTAATTAACTTCCGGCCCACCCCCTGGGCGCTCCTTCCCTTTCCAACTTCCGGTTCATCCCACGAATGGTCGCCCTCGTGGCGGAGCACGATTCTGTCCTGGCCTGCCCTGTTACTTGGAAAATTGTTGAGGCCCCGCGGCCTGGCGTACCCAACTCGAGCCATCCCCCAATCCAGCTGGCCCACCGAGGGTCGCCGGCGAGGGCCCTCCACCGGGCAGCCCGGGCTTCGCCTGCTATCCGAGATGGCCGGCCAAGATGGCCGCCACCTGGGCGAGGTCGGGCGGGCACGCCGCAGGGGTGGCTGGGAGTTGTAGTCCAGGCTGACGCGCTGACGCATATCGCCGCAGGCCGACGGTCGCCATTGTGCGCCGCGCGCTGGGTGAGTGTGGCGCGAAATCTCCCGTCGGGGTTGTGCGGAAAGGTCCCAGAGCAACTCCTCGGGGTGTGTAGCCTCAGTCCATTACCAGCCAAGCTCAGCAGCCGGAGACCGGCTTTGCCTGCCGTCTTCCCGCCGCGGGGCCGGAAGGGGCGGTGTAGTTGGGGACTCGGGGCCCTGAGGAAAGCCAACTCTGCAGGCGTGGGGTCAGGGTGGCCCGACCCGCACCGAGCGGTGTGCGGATTGGGAAAGGGAGTAACTCCCTTTGGGTGGGAAGGTATGAGGAGGATCTCCTCTCAAGTAGGGGAAACGGGCCTTCTAGGTGTCGGGGAGTAAGTGGAGACGACTCTTTCAGGGCGTTTTTCTAGGTTGGGGTTATCATTTCACATTGACAGGACTGCTACTGGGCAAAGGAGGGGCCACCCCTCTGCGTAGCCCTCACACCCCTTCTACCTCCCAAATTTGACCTCAGAACTGCCAACTCCCACGAGATACGTCGAGAAGGAAGTTATGGCCTCCGGGCTTCCGACGGCCTGGCTCCGTGTGAGTAGAGTTTCTCAGTCTACCCCTGGATCTGGGTGTGGGGGCGGCCGGATGGTAGTGGGATGCCACCATCCTGAGGTAACGTTAGGCCGCAGAGCATCTTGGGGAGGGTTGAGAGACTGGCCGGGAATGAGACACTGCTGAACAGATGAACCAAAGGTTTCTTAGCTTTCCCAGAAAATGGTTAAGAGTACAGTTTGGGGTCTGGGGGATTCTGATTTATCCTTTCTATTGTGGGTAGGCATGGGTAGGTTTAAACAGGGATTAAACTCACACTTTTATTTTAGTAGTACTTTGGCGTCTAAGCTAGAGGGGATTAAGGGAAAACAGGAGGATGGATCCTTGACCTGTGAAGGAAGTAGAGAGGCAGCACAGGCAGTGGGTGGGGGCTGAAGGCTTGGGTGTGATGATTCCGCTCTCAGAATTCCCTGCTAGGGGGTATAGACGCTAAAGCCAGAATCGGAATCCCCGAGTTAAGATAAATGGAGAGGTCCAGAGAAAGAAGAGCCCTCTCTGAACTCTCATGCTGTCCTCCTTGCCGTGACCTGAACAGGGTCAAGCTTGCGTTTGCTCAGTTTCAGACAATTGCAGGAACACTTGAGCCACCTGGAATGCGTGCAGGTCACCTTGTAGACTGTGCCCTCACGTGCGGGGTCAGCCTTCCCCCTCATGTCAGTGTAGGTGATGACACACCGTGGCTGAACAGAAACCTGTGGGTTTTAGGAACCAGTGGCCTTTGAAGATGTGACCCTCGGTTTTACTTCAGAGGAATGGGGACTGCTGGACCTCGAACAGAAGTCCCTGTACAGGGAGGTGATGCTGGAGAACTACAGGAACCTGGTCTCAGTGGGTAAGGATGGTCTCCATGTCAATAAAAATATGCGCTTTGCAGCACGAATGTGGTGCCTCTGAAGTGTGTGTCTGCTTGGGCTCAGGTTGCAGGGAGGAGCGTGCACTTGTCAAGGCCCTGGGGCCTGAGGGAGAAGGCTTTAATTTGTACCTGCAGGGAGAGGGCAACTTCACATATGACTTCTGAAGCCACCTAGTCTGTCCCTCAGAGGTTTTGAACGCTAGGGAGGTAGGTCTCTCAGGGATGTAGCTGACTGTAATGGATGCTCATTTATGTAACAGGAATTCCATAGGATGTGGGGTCAAGTGTTCTAGCAGTTCAGGAGTATCACTGGAGACTGATTGCTTCCATTTCTTTGTGGTGTGAACTTTTCCACTCTTAGGTTAGTGACTGCATGGCTATGGCACCCAGCATCATGTTCATATTCAGGGCGGAAAGAAGGGGAGGGGACAGCCCTGATTAGTTCTCTTTTCCCACTTCCATATTTAGCAAGGGAGAAAAAAGCCTTAAGGTCCCCAGCCGACTTGTTTTCTCTGTACCTTGCCAGCCAGAAGTGGGTCCCATTGCTTCTTTAGTGGCAAGGGAGTCCAGGAAGGCATGTAGCTAAAAAAGGGAATGGATTGGGTTATCATCACCACAGTAGACCAGAAGTCATGCCCTTGGAGGGAAGAATTCAGGGACAGCATGTGCCACAGCACAAACGCATTTTCTTCTGAACACAGACCCCCAAGCCCTGTCTCTTTTCCCTTGGGCAGAACATCAGCTTTCCAAGCCAGATGTGGTATCTCAGTTAGAGGAGGAGGAAGCGCTCTGGTCGGTGGAGAGAGGAATTCCTCAAGACACCCTTTCAGGTGAGAACCAGGCTCACAGAGTCCTGGTAGGGAATGGGCTGACTGGTTAGTCAGGGACTGGTGTCTGAGAAAAGAAGATGGACAGGAGAAAACCCAGGTGGGGTGGTATGAGGAGTAGCTGCAGACAAGCTGAATCAAACTGTTTTCCTCTGGTCTCAAGAGTCAGGGGTGTCCCACTTGGTTAAACGTGAACTTGCTGCCAGTGGCAGGTTGGCCCTAGGGGCTCCATCTGTTCTGCTGCTCTTTCATGTAATCACCAGTAACTGGTGTGTCTTTCCAGACTTTTTCTTTATAGATCTTTGCAGGTAGGTATATGAACGTATGTTTATGACTTGGGGGTGTTATACTGGATACAAACAGGCCTGTTTCATTTATTTTAACATACTGTGTGGTCCGTATTTGATTTTTTCCTCTTGATAATCTTTCAAGTTGTTGGCAGAAAACTTCATTGCATACATTTTTTTGCACTTTCAAGTTTTTTTTTTGTGTGTGGGTTTTTTTGTAGGTAGGATTTGTGAGATAGAACTTTGGAATCAACCAAGTAGAAGCTAAAAATCTGGTAGCAACAGATTGCTGTCTAAAATTCTTTAAAATGCATGGAGCTCCTCAATTACGTGAGAGCTTTTCCTGTTCATTGCCAGAAATTTAGAATGATCTTCTTAAGGTTTTCAAATCTGATAGTATGTTCAGTTTAGTTCACATTTCCCTCATGAAGGTTTTTTTTTTTTTTTTTAAAGATTTGTTTATTTATTTACTTATTTGACAGAGATCACAAGCAGGCAGAGAGGCAGGCAGAGAGTCCGATGTGGGGCTTGATTGTAGGACCCCAAGATCATGATCTGACCCAAAGGCAGAGGCTTAACCCACTGAGCCACCCAGCCACCCATCCCTCATGAAGTATTTTTACAAGTTTACAGACCATTTATATTTTTTCTTTTGTGAGTTATATACTTTACTCCCCCTTTTTTTCTGTTAATTTTTGTTTTTTGGGGTACAATATTTTGTTGGGAACTCTTAATTATGGGCATTAGTAATACAAATATCCCAGACAAACGTTTATCACTACCTTTAAATTTAGTCTCCATAAAGAAGTTTTATGATTCAGGTATTTTTCCTTTCAAATCTGTTTTTATTCCTATTCATAACACAGAAAGGAAGATTTTATAAATACTTTCTTGTGTTTCAGTATTGGTTTTTGTTTAATGGCTGCACTTACATGGAGTTTCTTTATGTATAAGGCATGGAGCGTAAGTTCTGTCAGCACATTTTCTGACTAGATTCTTCCACTTATCAGAAACAGCTTCTTTATCATAGACGTAACTTCCACAGTCCTCATGGGTAGCAGGCCTCTGTCTTGGTCCCTTCTGTGTCCTTCATCTCGGTCTGAGTAAATACTTTTTTGCTGTATGGATGGTAGTTTTATAACAAACTCGGATAAATGGGAGCTCCCCTCATTTTTAAAAAAATTCTTTGTTGTTCTCAACCACATGGTTTACCATATGAACACTTAGCATCAGTTTGTCAGGGATTCATTGAGAAAATCCTGTTAGAATGATTGGATTTAGAATTCCTTGAGGCAGAATTGGCCTGTCTAGTCAAGATTTGACGCAAGTAGGGTGCCTGGGTGTCTCAGTTGGTTAAACTACTGCCTTTGGCTTGGGTCATGATCCCAGAGTTCTGGGATCAAGTCCTGCATGGGGCTCCCAGCTCTGTGGGGAGCCTGCTTCTCCCTCTGACCTTCTCCTCTCTCATGATTTCTCTCTCTCTCTCTCTCTCTCTCTCTCAAATAAATGAAAAATCTTAAAAAAAAAAAAAGATTTGACACAAGTATACAAAGAGATCTGCTCTCCTCACTGTGCTATGTCAGGCCTTCTGAGTGCTGTTGGGTTTTCTGTGTGGTTGCTGTCGATCTGCTCATGTTAGTCTTCCTTTGAAATACCACGTAGTTGATCCAGATGAGCCTGTCATGCTGCTAACTTCTATTACTAGTTGTCTTACTAGTTTCTTACTGATTTTCTCGGTAGAGTCATTTTATCAGCAAGTATAAAGGAAGAGGCAACTGTATTAGTGTTTTGTTTTTTTACTTCTTTTGCCCAATTACATAATGACATTTCATCACAGCTGGTACTTCTAAAACACTGAAGCTGAGAGGGTGAAGAGTGAATGTCTGACCTAAATAGGAAAGTTTCTCAGCTTTGATGAGCATGTGCTGGACTCTGCTTTAATTTAAATCAGTTATATCTGGATAAAGAAATAGTCATTTAGTCCTTTCTGATAAATGATAGCAATAGCCCCAGTTTTCCCTCATAGCCTTCCACAGTGATCATAGTGATTTTCTCCTTTGAACAGTTAACACAGTGACCTAATAAAAATAGAAGTGCCTTTGTTGTAACATGATGCGGACATCCACTGACACATCAGTATTCGTAAATTAGGTGGGGGAGGTGGGTGGATTTCTTTCTTGTGGCTTTTCTTAGTCAACTTTTATATGGGGATGTGCTGACTTTGTAAAGAAAACTTGGGATGCTCTCCCTTCCCTTTGTTCTGTGTATTCTAATGCAACTGATATTAGAACTACCAGCTTCTAGCTGTGTTCACCAATGAAATCTGCACCTGGTCCCCATCTTTGGTGATGATTTTCCATTTGCCACAACACAGACTGGCATCTCTTGTGACTCTCTGCCCTTCCTCTCCTGGAATCAGTTTGATGGCTCAGCATTAGTGTTTTTTTCTTTTCCATAATCAGAGTCATTCCTTTCATTCCCTATGAATTCCAGCCATGAGCACAGGTCACTAGACTATACCTCACTTGGAAGGTTCCCAGCAACACAGGCACTTTGTATCCACCCACTGTGGTGTCTTTCCTAGTTGTTCCCCTTGCTCTGGCCTTCCACAGCCCCTTCCTGGGTGGTGGCTCTGGTTGTGGCAGGTCTGTGTCTCATCCTCCCTGGAGCTCAAGTCCTGTGTTGGCAGACCTTCCAGCTTTGGACTTCTGGGTGATCTAGTAGTTCCTCTAATCTCGCTTCCTGAGGGATTTGGGGCACATCTTGAGAGGACTGGCTTAACAGGTGACAGGAGATTCTGAGGTGATATCCCAGAGCAAGAGACCATGTATAGGGAGGCTTACCAGGACACTTTATTACAGACTGTGCCTGAGGTAATAGGTGTTTTGTGCTTTGTCACAAAGAGTCCTTTGCTTGTTTTCCCTCCACTGCCTGTCCTGGTTACACCTCACAAATACTGTGGAAGTTCTCTTGGGTCTTACGTAGTACACTAACCACTTTGGTAGGGAACCAGAGATAACATAAGCCTTGCCATGCTGGACTTTGTAGTCTGATGGATTATGGCCTTTACAAACAGGTTCCCCAGATGCAACTCTGAACAGATAAGTAGTGGAAGGACTGAGAAGAAAAAGAATGTGATGTGGGGGTCATGGGGAATTACTACACTAGAGGAGGTGGTTGGGGGGGCACTGCAGGAGTGAAATTTTAAGCCAGTTCCCAAAGAAAAAGAATTCTGCAGACACGTGAGTGGTGGTAAAGAGAGCTTCCAGGTACAGAGACCGTATCTGGGGTGACCATGAGAATGGCGTAAGCTTGGCACACTCAGGAAACAGCCACTGAGTGGGGTGGGAGGAGGTAGCTGAGGTGTACTGACAAGCAAGCTAGGTTTGGCAACGCACACGGGGCTTCCACTGTGAGTAGAGTTTTGATTGTTATCAGGCAGGTGTGTGATGTGGCTTTTCAAGCACACTTCAGGTGGTTATGAAGAAGGAACTGTAGCAGGGCACAGATGAAAGCAGGCCAGGGAGCCGTGTAGGTAGCATCTAGGGAAGAGGTGATGACTCCTGGCCTGAGAATAGCAGAAGGGCTGGGGATAAGCCTGCATGGCCTTCTCCCAGTTCATAAGTGGATTCACTGGGGACAGGTGAGTAGTGGCCAAAGGAAAGGAAGCTGCCAAGAATTCTTCAGAGGTGAAAGCTTCAGGGATTTCCTACGACTATTTGTAATGTATGCGTTTACCATATACACTCTTTGTATGTATCACCATCTAACTTAAAAAGGAGAAAAATTACTCTTCCTGAATATTTGGTTTTAGTCAGTGACATGAGGAAATCTGGTAAAGGCATAAACTTCTGAAGGGTAGAAATAAAGGTTTTGTTTTGTTTTTTCTTTGTTGAAGTAATTTTAAAGAGAGTAACATGAATGGTACAAAGAACTCCCCTACAGCGTTCACCTAGATTCAAGTTTGTGGAACTGTCCTATGTCCTGACTGGTTCTGTTAATGAAGTGTGAATGAGAAGGGACTTGGAGACCTCCAAGTAGAGGTTTGTGAAGCCAGTGGAATGCCCTTCTCTGGACTTCAGAAGGAGTCCCGGCGAGGCATAAAAACTTGGGAATCATAGGTGTTTGAAATGGCATGCTTTATTTACTGTAAGATGAGACCATCATCTCCAGCAGTGGTCTCTGCCATCACTGGTGTAGTGGTACCTCTTCCAATGCAGGGAACGGGGCTTAAGTGGAAAGCTCAGCCTTTCTGAGGCAACTCATTTTGTGTGGCTCTGCAGCTCTCTGTGACAGCAAAAATGCCAGCACAGACATTGGCTGAAGTAGAAGGGACACTGAGTAATAAGCACTTAAGACATGGCATTCATCTTTTTTTTTTTTTTTTTAAGATTTTATTTATTTATTTGACAGAGATCACAAGTAGGCAGAGAGGCAGGCAGAGAAGGGTGGGGAGCAGGCTCCCCTCCGAGCAGAGAGCCCGATTCGGGACTCGATCCCAGAACCCTGGGATCATGACCCTAGCTGAAAGCGGAGGCTTTAACCCACTGAGCCACCCAGGTGTCCCTACATGGCATTCATCTTTAAGAAGGCACTGATTGGGGAAGATGTTGTGAATATAAGGAATGTGGACCACTATTTGATGGCACTCAAGTGTTTAGCCATCACTCTGTCCTTTCAAGAAAGTATTGCCACATGTGTGTTTTGGGAGGAAAA